GCTATCTGAATTTTTGCCCACACTTGTCTGGCAGATGTTGGGCGAGTGTATTACCACTGCGCCACGGGGAGTGCAGGACCCTTGCTACGACCACTAGGCAGCTTGCACCGCAACATTCAAGTGGTTCTGCACCTTGATCAGTGACGGACTCCTGGTTCAACCTTGAGTGGACGTCTAAAGCCTGTACTCTACCTGGGGGCTGCCCTAGGGGTATGTGACGCAATTTTACTCATGGTAATACTGGAGGTTAACATGGAGTCGGTGATATTTTCCTAATAAACCTCCATTACCCGATCACTATCACTTTATCTTTTGCTTTCCCTACCTGTCAGTGTAGGGGAAGCTTAAGGAAGCATCTTTTGCTTTCCCTACCTGTCAGTGTAGGGGAAGCTTAAGGAAGCATCTTTTGCTTTCCCTACCTGTCAGTGTAGGGGAAGCTTAAGGAAGCATCTTTTGCTTTCCCTACCTGTCAGTGTAGGGGAAGCTTAAGGAAGCATCTTTTGCTTTCCCTACCTGTCAGTGTAGGGGAAGCTTAAGGAAGCATCTTTTGCTTTCCCTACCTGTCAGTGTAGGGGAAGCTTAAGGAAGCATCTTTTGCTTTCCCTACCTGTCAGTGTAGGGGAAGCTTAAGGAAGCATCTTTTGCTTCCTCTACCTGTCAGTGTAGGGGAAGCTTAAGGGAGCATCTTTTGCTTCCCCTTACCTGTCAGTGTAGGGGAAGCTTAAGGAAGCATCTTTTGCTTCCCCTTACCTGGGGCCTCGTAGCCTGGTGGATAGCGCGCAGGACTCGTAATTCTGTGGCGCGGGTTCGATTCCCGCACGAGGCAGAAACAAATGGGCAAAGTTTCTTTCACCCTGAATGCCCCTGTTACCTAGCAGTAAATAGGTACCTGGGAGTTAGTCAGCTGTCACGGGCTGCTTCCTGGGGGTGGAGGCCTGGTCGAGGACCGGGCCGCGGGGACACTAAAAGCCCCGAAATCATCTCAAGATAACCTCAAGATAAGATAACCTGTCAGTGTAGGGGAAGCTTAAGGGAGCATCTTTTGCTTCCCCTTACCTGTCAGTGTAGGGGAAGCTTAAGGAAGCATCTTTTGCTTCCCCTTACCTGTCAGTGTAGGGGAAGCTTAAGGGAGCATCTTTTGCTTCCCCTTACCTGTCAGTGAGGATGAGATCTAATTCTTTTATGCCCCCTGCCTTCCAGTTATTTGTTTGTGCTGTTTTGCCTATGTATGCTTTCAGCGAATTCCATTTCTTCGCCTTGTAGTGTTAAAGTATTTCCTTATTTTTAGTTTATTCGTATTTTTAACTTCCATCCATGTTCTCATCCTGTTTTTCTTTACCTGAAATTACCTGAGGGCCACTAACACTAATGGCCTCAACGAGGATAGGAAGCTGGCGGCTTGTCGAAAGTCACCTCAGTACTTTGAATGTATTTATCATGTTTCCTCTGGACCTTCTCTCATCAAGGATCATTAGGTTGAGTTCGCATAGCCAGTCTTAACAGTTCAATTCCCTTATTTTGGGCACTATAGCCTTGTTATAACAGAACTTTAGGTTGTGATTTTTCTTCACAAGGCTCTATGCTGGCTTGCCATATGCCAGTGTTGTTATCCTATTTCAATGTGCATAAAGCACTAGCGCTGTCATTATGTCTATTCTGAAATATTTCTTTCTAGGGGTCAGAGCTGGAAGTACATTAACTCCCAAATCTTTTTTTCCTCTTCCAGTTCCTGTAATTGCTTTCTCCTTAGGATATAGATTCCTTGTTTTGTGGTGGTGTTACAGTGAATATGTAGGTACTGTATGGCATATACATTGACAGCTTGTGGAGAAGGCTTCACAGAAAGACTGTAAGGTGCACTTGGCTTTTATGAACCTGAAGAAGTAATATGCCAAAGTAATAGAAAACTCTGGAAGTTAAAAATGTGCTTACTTACCTAGTTATGCTTGTGGGGGTTGAGCTTTTGGCTTTTTGGTCCTGCCTGTTGGGACCATACATCCAACTTTGTATGAAGTTGGATGAGCTCAGTTAAATACTATGAAGAAATTTTATGAAGTTAGTGTACACAAGGGTTGTATGATGTTTCTTTGGATGTTCAATACAGTACAGTATATAGACGAGGTCTTGTTGGAGATCACGGTAAAAATATTAGAAAAAAGTATGTACTTTGTGTAGGAGAGGAGTAATTGAATTACAGCACATTAAATTTTATATAAAATGATGTTGCAGTTCTTTTAGCAGAGAATGAAGAAGTTTACGTACATTAGTTGAAAGGTAAAGGTGAATATGGAGAAAATTAAAGTTGAGGTGATATGTGAAATTAGTTTGATGACAAAGACGATGAGAGAAAAAAAAAAAGAGCAGCAAAGACGAAGTGTGAAGAGTGTACAGGTTGTGGTGGAGGAGGCTAGGTTGCACTATTGTGTAAAAAGAGCAGTTGTTTTGTTTATACTGTGGCATATCCTTAAAACTACAAAGTTAAATACTGTACAGTATATTGTTCTTGACTTAATATAGATGTTGGGATATATGGCTATTCAGTGTATCACCAAATTCAAGTTTTCTTTTAATAGTAGCAAATACAACTATAAAAACATATCTTTGCACATATTTAAAAGCATAATACTGTATATGAAAAATAATATTCATATTTAAGAATAATGAAAAAATTACAATTTATTTTTGCCTAATGAAGGTTACAAATATTTTGGTTAGAGTATGTACAGGTCTGCAAAGGACTTGTTCCAAATGTCAATTTTAATATCAATACAGTATAGCCTTTATGTTCATGATACATTATCTTTTTCTTATTTGTTCTAGCCAAACTACTCTTGATAACAGATGTCTTTTCTAATCATAAATATATTTCAAGAGCAGCAAGAGGTAACACCATGCATCACAAAGAAAAGGCTCTTATAGTGTGAAAGCATTCAGTGGTGGCAAACTAGGCCACCAAAAGAAAAAAAGGGCTGCATATACTAGCTGTATTTTATAATATATACCAAACATGATCAAAAAGTCAGTTCTAACTCCCTCCCCCCCAAAAAAAAAATATATATACTGTACGACAAAAAGTACAATACAGTAATAGCAGAAAGTGCAAAAATACAATTGGCTGAAAGAAACTGCACTGAAACATTATACATCTTTTGAAATGGTGGATGATATCCAAATGTGCTTTTGTTTATCCATGACACTATGTAGGTGGTAAGATATAGTTGATGGACAAGTGTAATTTTTTAATGTCACATCATTCCCCTATATAGCCAGGAAAACTGCCTCTTCACTCTCACCTTCGTAGTTGATAGCCTCCTCAAAACAATACTACACTCCACCAGGACTTACATTCATCATTAATATGTCCATGAAATTCGAGCTCAAGCAAAGTCCAGACATCTCTCTAGACAATACTTCCAGGGTACACCCCATTGCAGGCGAGTGGTTATGTCCTACAGATGGCTTGTTACCCTTCTGGTGATTTGTTCCAGTTGCCGTTGACAAATATTCGTCAAATTTATTTGTCACCATCAGCAACGACTTGTTTGGTGATGTGATGTCACAATCAGGAGTATAAGTACACCTGACCCCTAGCCGTCAATTTCAGTCTCTTTTTCAGGTACTCAGGAATTATGACATTACACAGTCACGATGCTAGCCTGCTTCACTAGATGTTGCTTTGTGTCCAGCTTGTAGTGTTTTGTATAGTGTAATTATTCAGTCACCAATATTATTCTTATTGTGTTAACATAAGCTTTTCATGTGTTAGTCTTGTTATTATGTATCAGCCAAGTGGTGTAAGTCAGGGTGTTTTGTAATTCAGATGTTATTTGTTTATCTTTATTAGTTATTTGTTTATCTTTATTATAGAGTAAATTATTATATTTTTGACTGAGTATTACTTCCACTCTTGCCCAATTCTCACATTGCAAAGGTTAATGCATTTTTTTTATTTAATGAGTGTGTGTGCAACTTTCCATCTGCCCGGTACATCCGCAATACTGAATCATGTCTCAAATATCATGTACAGTGTACTTTATTTCCCATAATGCTCCCCTATTTTTCACCAGGTTAATGCTTTTCCATCCACAAAAGTGAGAAATAGGTACATATGATTTTCATGAATGGGTAAATGCTAGTTGTTGACCAGTTTAAATACCTGGGATGTTTGTATGTGCAGTCAAGACAGGAAAAGTAAGTGGTTCAATAAAAAGCTTGGTTATAATGAACAAAATAGGAAGAAATATGCCCAGATAGTTGCATGGCAAAGCCAACCCTTTTCTGTAACAAGTGTGAAATGCTGTAGTGGCAGCAACATGAAAAATCTAGAATTAGAGCAGTGAAAATTTACAATTTGAGAACCATATAGGGTTAGGATATATTTAGTAAATAAAGAATAAAGAAGTCACATTTTGCAGTGCAAACGTCAGAAAGTCACAAGAATGAGAAGAGCGTACTTATATGGTTTGGTCATGGTGAAAAAATGATGATAGACTGGTGAGGAGTGTCTTTGAATACAAATGAGAGGAAGGCTGAAATTAGCAGACATGGTGCATGAGGAAATGGAGTGTGAGAGGTGCTAATAGTGCACAGGATGTGGTGGGGGAACAAAGTCAAGTGGTCACAGTTTGTAAACAGAAAATGGAGTTATTTTTTCTTTTTAGACGTACAGTATATGACAACCCAAGAGGAGCACAGCAGTGTACACAGTTTTATGAAGCAGTGGGGTTGCTTCTTGTTGATTCATGATGGTATATTGTGGGTAAGATATGGTGAATGAATGAGTGTAATTTGTTATCATTAACTTTATTTTCTTTACTTCTCCACATGTTTACTTTGGGCTAATGCCTCCACATCCCATAGAAGTGGGAAATAGGGTAATGATGATGGTAATGCAATCTTTATTCTAGCATTCAATAATGCAATAATTCTAGCATTCTTTATCAACTAGTTGCAAGTCACAATGAGAATACTATACAACAGGAAAAAATAAAGCAAATATAGTTCATTGGAGGTTTATTTCCAAATACTAAAATGCAAGGCACAGTTGGAAACACATTTGAAAACTCAAGAGATATCCTAGCAAGTAACATTATTGTGCATTTGCCACATCACATGTAATGTCCTTCGTGCGATACAAAAGTACATTTAGAAAGTGACGTCTAATAATCTATAAAATATCAACAGCATCTAATGTAGTAAGGAAAATATAAATGTCACAAATATTGGCAAAAATGGAAGACAATGTTATGTTGGAATGAACTGCAAATACTTTAGCACAAATATAATAGTCATCCAAATATAATACTGTAGTCATGTGCAGATACTGTTACTTTGCCATCAGCAGAATCTAATGCATCATCATTGTTATCATTTATTAGAAGATGGTGTCAAGATATCTTCCTAAATTACAGATATGTCCCTTAAATATACTAAAGTGAGATTAAATATTGAACAATTAACAAACTGTTATTTTATGAGCCAGAACCATTTACACTATTTTGCCATCTGTCCTGCTACTGCCGTATGAATTTTCCAGAGCAATCAGTTTACCATCAATTACCGTGTAATATTGCAGGGAATAATCCTGTTGTAAGCAAATGGTACTGAAAATCATGCATGTAACAAATGTATACAACAGATAAAATAGACCAGAGCTTACAATAACAGAAATATAAAAAAATAAATACTATTTTGTGTTCACTACTCAATATTCTTAGAACTGTGAAAAACTTCAACTATATTATTTTAATTTAAATCTAAATGCAGGACTTTAATTATGAAAAAGAAATTTATAGACTTTTTAAGTTTCCCTGTGATAAAGCACAGTTTCTCTTGTTTTAAACATTGCTAAATTGCAAACATTCTACAATATTGTATGTCAAAGCTAGCATGTCTATATTCAGATTTTCATTTCCAAGAACAGTAGTACAGTATTTTAAACTTAAACACCTCTAGGATTTCACATTCACTCCATCATAACATACCAGCAATACTAGGAAATTATTACTGGCATTAAATATACAACAATTAAATCTGCCAACAAGTCTTTCTTTTGCTATGCCATACAACATCTGGCAATGTAATAAAACATATAATAGATATCTGCAGTATTTTTGTATAAATACCACTATCTGTAACTTTTAGCACAATACGTCTGTAACAATATCCTACATAAAACGATTTTCAAAGGCATGTTAAGGCACTGGTTACATAAATTCCCTTAAGTGATACAGCTATTTTTGTTATCTGTAACATAAATATACTAAAGAGATGCATAGGATAGTCTTAAGCTAAAAGTTATAAAAACTAAAATTGTCTAAATATCAGTTGAGAAACATCATACCAATATACATGTAACTGAAGTAAATAAAGAGACCAAGATCCTCCTGTTACTGAATAAGTTGACAGGGACTTGGACAATGCAGTGTGTAATAATTTAATAAAAATGTTTTGATGAAATGTGAATTGAATCTTTAAATATACTGTATATCTTAAGAAAAAAAAAAAAAAAAAAAAAAAATGGTTTCAAAATATATGAAGGCAATGTAGTTTACTGTACAAATTTTTGTTACGGATTTCCGAAAGTGTATTTACAAACGAGCATTTTTCTTTTTAGTTCCCCAGAAGCATGCCCATTGATCAAGCTAAAGGATCCAATTCTTCAATTTGCAGTTCATGTTCTTCATACTCACTCTCTTCCTCATCATCCTCATCATCATCTTGCATATTCTCATCACTTTCCATTGGGTCATCTGGATCTAGTTCCACTTCAACCTGAATTTCCTCAGCCCCGTCTTGTGAACTCATAATACCATTTATTGACTTATCTTCTTCATCACTCTTTATTAAATTATCCATTGTGTCATCAATACTAACAATATGTTGTGTGTTGCCACGTCGTACGATTGGCACCAGGTCCCCATCAGGGGTTTCTTGCCAATTTTCTCTTTCATGGGCACGAAGATGCTCTCTAAGCTCAATCCGATCCTTAAAGTCTTCACGGAGACAAATTACACATAGTAATAAATTTGTGTGATACTTCTTTCGATGACATCGCAATGCCGATTGATCAGTAAATTTTTTTTCACATATGTCGCATGGATAGGGTCTTTCACTAGTGTGTTTTCTAACATGAGCTTTCAGATTTTCACGATTATCAAATGACTTCCCACAACTCTGGCAGCGGAAAGGTTTCTCACCAGTATGTGTGCGCTCATGACGAATCAATCCTACTATCTGAGTAAATGTTCTCCCACACAAGCTACATGCATATGGTTTTAACCCTGAGTGAATACGCTCATGAGCTTGAAGTCCAGATTTGAAGCGAAATGGGCGATAACATACACTACATTGGAATGGTTTTTCCCCTGTATGGAGCTTCATGTGTTGTTTTAGGTGAGTATTGCGGGAAAATCCTTTGCCACATACTCTACACTGAACTGGCCGTTCACCTGTATGAATCCTCATGTGAGACCGCAAATTAGACTTCTGATTAAAAGATGCATTGCATAATCCACAGGTAAATGGTTTTTCACCAGTATGAATGCGCATGTGACGAATAATGTCAATTCTCTGACGATATCGTTTCCCACACACATCACAGGGATATGGTCTTTCACCTGTATGCACTCGTATGTGGGATATGATATGATCCTTAGTTTTGAAGTCCCTTGTACAAAATGGACACTGATAACCATTGAGAGGTGTTATAGGAATGTCACAAACATCGCGTTCCTGCGCTTCACTTTCAATATGAATTCTGAGATATCGCCTTTCTGAGTCTGTGTATTCACCAATTATGGTTGTATTGCTCTTAGGAGTAATCATGCATTTAGTATTTGTTTCAACCCTTTGGAAACCAATATTCTTCATAAAAGCAGCAGTTTTCTCAGCAGCAGCTGTAACATGATAATTTACATAATCTTTAACATTGACATTTTCTGGGATCAGAGCAATAGGTTCTGGTTTCGGTTTACCAAGAGAATCATCTTGTCCATGTGTCTTCTGAAGTGCTAAACTCTTAACAGAAGTGAGAGCCTTCATTAGCTTCTTTTGGTTGTTCTCTACCTTATCTTTGTGATCTAAACCCAGAGCTTCTGCCTCCTCAGGTGAAATACACACAAGTTTACCTTCTGATGTCCGGATATAGAACTTTGGTTGAGGACATGCACTGACGCCTTCTGTCACTCCAAGGACTTGTCTCAACTCTTCATCTTGGGCCAACAAATCACCTGTTTAAAAAAAAAAGACAATTAAGTTATGCACAAAACATGATATTTAATTTAACTTAAAATGTAAGAATGTAAATGCAAAGAGTTCTTCAAAGAATTCAGTGTATTGAATTCTCAGTTTCATGAATTGCGAAGCATTGTCGGGTAGAGCACCAGCAAGCTTGAGCCACTCCACAAACCATCGTAAACCACTGCACCCTATCAAGGAGGTGGCATATGCGACCAGCCACCTGGTACCAAGCTTCAAAAAGTGAAGGCCAACTTCCTGCACAATCATGCATTCTCCAAGAGTGAACTGCTGCAAGCAAGTTTTGAATATCCAGCAACACTGGTGGTGCTACATAGTCTATCCAAAGGTGGCTTGGTGCCTTCTGATAATTGCTTACTTAACCACCTAATTTCTAAATCATTATTTACCCAGGTCTTTCCTGCTCGCCACTCTGCTGCCATACCGCCACAAGTGAGGCGGTATTGCAGAAGAGCGAGGCTCGCTCTGGGTGAAGCGCCAGAAGCAGCTGGCAGCATAGCCAGCTGCCTCTGGCCGTCTCACTCCCTCCTACCTACAAACACTCACGCTTGTGGCGAGAACAAAATATTTATAAACATTTTACATTTAAGGACCCAAAAATAGATGCATGTATATAATTTTGGCACATAACTGTATGCCAGTGATCATTCTCTCATATGTGCAGTTAAAACAATGCCTAATAAATAAAATTGTAAAGTTTTTTACAGAGTGGCAGACTCGGTATAAAAATCAGCACACTTGGTTTTGGTTTGTGGATCTTGATCATTAAGTTGCATGTGTGCATACAATAGTTATCAGTAATTTATAATTTTGAGACTAAATTACCCCCACCAATGATTTCCCTTATATGATCTAAACAAAACAAAGATTGTGTAATTAATTAATTTTCTATAAGTGCAACCATGGACCCCTTCTCCAGCAACACTGAAACCTCCTCTCCTCCCTAATAGAAGCAGAAATCCAGGATGGAGCCAACATTCCATCCTGAGTCCTCAAGCACGAAGGTAGAAACAGCATTAGTCAAGGAAGCCCCTATGCCCTGGTATGCTGAACCTCCAATCATGTACAAAATAAAATAATGAAAACAAACGTTGCCATCCCTGTCAAGACCCAGGTGGAGCAGCCCTCAGAACTACTCGCCAACCCCCATCTATCGACACCTGCAGTTATGTGGCTAGAAACTGTTTAAGAACTTGTATTAACATAGAAGGATGGAAAGCCAAACAAACTGAGAGGAGATGAACAAGTTGCTCAGTGGCTAAAGCAGAGGTAACAAGAACTTTTCACACTAGAGATGCTATACCGATGATGATACTTTTCAAAACGCTTGTGCTCTCTAGAGTGGAGTACTGCTGCACAATGACAGCCCCTTTCAAAGCTGGAGAAATTGCTGACCTGGAGAGCGTGCAGAGATCCTTTACTGCTAGAATTCACTCAGTAAAACATCTAAATTACTGGGACCGACTAAAGAGCCTAAATCTGTACTCCCTTGAGCGCAGGTGGGAGAGATACATAATAATTTAAATGTGGAAAACAATTGAGGGGCTGGTCCCAAACCTGCACACAGAAATAACATCACATGAGACCAGAAGACATGGCAGGATGTGCAGAATACCCCCGTTGAAAAGCAGAGGTGCAACAGGTACTCTGAGAGAGAACTCTATCAACATCAGAGGCCCGAGACTGTTCAACACGCTTCCACTACACATAAGGGGCATAACTGGCCGACCCCTCACAGTGTTCAAGAGAGAACTGGATAAGCACCTCCAAAGGATACCTGATCAACCAGGCTGTGACTCATACGTCAGGCTGCGAGCAGCCGCGTCTAACAGCCTGGTTGATCAGTCCAGCAACCAGGAGGCCTGGTCGACGACGGGCCGCGGGGACACTAAGCCCCGGAAGCACCTCAAGGTAAGGAGGTGGCTAGTGTGTATTTGGCACAAGTGTCCAAAACAAGGTGACCCAGTAGGCAAATTTAATATGATACCTGCTGTGTAGGTGTGAAATGTTGACCAACCCTGACTGAGCATGATCTAATCATGGATCCAGAAGAATCTTGACTTAGCCTCGGTAGCAACCGAGTGACTTGCTCAGATAAGTGTTTTTCATATACAGTACGCTCAAAACCTAATTTTTCACTTCATTTTCAAATTAAAAAGTTATTTTCTACAATTTTCTTCTCTGTAAGCTTTGAAAAAATTCTGAACTGAAAGAGTTAAGAGAAGAGTATACAGTATATAGACAACAGAATACAAAAATTATTATTGAGAAGTATTGCTGGCATCAAACTTCAGCAAATGTGCATTAAAATTACCGTATTGGAATGTATTAGTTACTCCCAACACTGATATAGGTTTAGCACAAATATTTTCATGTCAGATATATTCCTTCCATACTGTATATTAATATTTTTTTATTTAGAAAACATTATACTATATACTGTATATATTAATATATAGTATAGTACAGTATATACAGTATTATTGAGTTACATGACTTTAAAAGCACTGTGCAGATAATTATTTTTGTCAATAAACCTTATTTGTATATTAATAAACTTATGAGTTATCTTTTGAGAATTTTGTGTGCCTTCCAAATCCCTTTATTTGGAACAGAAAATGATTATAGACCAAAGCATATTTACATATTATATAGATTCGAACAGAGATTTCAAAGTGAAAGATGTATGTGACTAATGTAAATAATGCATGTTACTCTGAGAAAAGAATTCGAAACCTGGTACAGTATTTTTTTTCTGCACATTTCTCCTTCCTGTACACTATATCAAATTCAAAGTAACTTACCTTCATCATCCTCAAATTCTTCCTTGATTCCAAACTCTAATTTGGAATCGTCTTCAGAAGATGGCTTAAGTGTTTCCTGAAGTGTCTTATCTTTTTCCGTATCAATATCTTCTTTTTCCTCCTTGATGCACACACCATCAACAGTAATTGTTTCACTGGCTAGGGAATCCTGAGGCTCTTCCTTTACACGAATGTTTAAGTAAGCAGGAGGTTTACTTGACACTATATTTTTGGCAGGAGCAGAAGATTGGCTATTTAGTGAAGTATCAATTTTATTAAGTGGGGGTAAGGAAACCTGTGGTAAGGCACCAGTAATAAAATGTTTTTTCGGTGCAATCTTCTGAAATCGAGGACTAAGTTTTACAGGGACAGGTTTCCCCACTACCTTAAATGTTGTAGTACCATTTAAAATCATGATGGGATTGGAATTAGATATGGATGTAATTGGCTTGGTTGCTGTGGAGATGGTAGCTGGTTTAGCAGTGGAATTGCTTATAACAGTTATTATTTGAGGTTCTACTTTGCTGGGCTCTTGTTTGATGCTAACTATTGGGGACTGGTAATCCTGCTTGAACCCAAGTGGACTCAACCCACCAACTTTCACGACAATGGGCTGGCTTGTTGGTAATGGTCCCCCAGAGGATGTTGTCAATGAAGTGGGTTGGAGAACAATTCTGTGAGGAGTAGAAGGTACCACTGAACTGATCTTGGCTGGAGCAGTAGATGATGATGATGATATAATTGCCTGAGAATTTTTTTGGGGAACTAATAAAACTTGCTTTCTTGTAGAAGTTTTAGAAACATTCACGACATTAGTTAGCAATAGCTTCTTCCCTGTGGTGGTTTGCACTAAGCACATGTTGGAAGCTTTATCAGATTTTGATGAATTCATTTGAAGAACCACAGGCTGGGAGTTGAGCTTCGGCAGACTGGTTGCTGAACTAATTGTTTTTAACACTATGGGTTGGACAGAATTCGTAGCCACTGGTTTTTTTGGTTGTGTTGCCCCTACCATTATGAGGGGAGGCATATTTCCTCCAGAGACTGGGATCATAACTTTCTTCATTTTATATCTTGTCTTTTAACACAAAGTCAAACTTAATGAAACACAACACAACAAACTAAATAAAAATTAAATTATTTCTTGTAAAGCTGTCACATTTTGCAATCTGAAAAGAAAAGAAAATACAATTTTACAATAAAGTATTGTACTACTTTACACATGAGCATCCAATAAATTTAAATTATATTGTACACTAACTTGACTAACCTGCAAATGCAATTAGTGAGTTACTATTGTCTGATAAACTATCCTCTTCTGGTACTGGTAATGACTTAAAAGAACCTCTACTTTCAGCCTCCACACTGCCCATGAAAGGGCTATTCAAGCCCATGCCACCTTTAGGGTGGCTTAATCTTTATCAACCAATCAATCCTCCTCTACTAAAGTGGGCACAAAGCTGCTACGGTCTCCCAGTGCTATCCTCCACAGTAATAATCAGAGCTGCTACTGTCTGACAAACTAATCTTACCGTAATACAGCACTCACAAAGCCATTACTGCTTAAAAATAACTATCATCCACAATAGTACTCTCAGAGGTGCTACTATTTGATAAACTAAACTCCACAGTAACATTGAAATAACTGTAACTGTATGACAAACTACCCACTACCGTAGTACTCGCCCAGCTAGCGCAGTACACACAATGTATGTACTACTTGGAAGTGGCCAACGCTGACTTGCTTAACACAGACCTATGTCTTCAGCTGCCACTTGTGGGCTCCGCCTCCTCTCACACCTTAATATTGCCTCACCACACTGCCAACTACTCACTGAGGATCACAAATAGCGGTAGCCACACACAAACAACAAAACCAAGACCTAAACCCAACGAGAAACTTCAGCTGGCGCGACTCACCTCAGCTTTTGTTTACATTTTGGAAGCAACATGTGAAGCGTTTGTGTCGGACGGAACACAAAAACACCCATGTTTTTTAACCCAAAATACCCTCTCTATTGCGCACTAGTACCACAAAAATAAAATGTATCTTCATTATAGAGAGATATAGCAAAAAAAACTCTACGTTAAGGTAAAATTATATGATACTCATGGTTTTCATGTAATCATGAACGCTCAAGGCCGCGGTGGCTGGGCGATCCCTAGAGCAGACTTGCCAACCTTCCCTGATCCAGCCTCAGACTTTATTATCATTCTTATGCATAAATAATAACACTTTTTCTCCGTCAAGTCGAGCCTAAACTCAAGTTGTACGCATGTCGCAAAAAAAAAAAAATGTACTGAGAGAAGCGGCTCTCAGGAAATGGTTTTGGTGAAAATGGCGTTTGCAGAAGGCGGTGCGGAATGTTGGCTAACCCGCAGTGGTGTTGACGGGCGGAGGTGCGCGTGCGCGGGGTGGAGTATTTTCCCACCCCATGTCGTCCCTGTCACCCCTACGGTGGCGGCCCTGGGGTGGCCCCGGGGTCCTACACACCCACCAGGCCGCTACAGGCAAGTGAGGGGGGCTACCTTTCGCTCCCCGCCACCTGGTCTCGCCGTACCTGTTGCGTTAGAACGTAAGTTTTATGAGGATGGAATTTGGTTATGGAGGTGGCTTCCCCAACTTCTTTCGGTGCATATTACTTCTTACTCACCTGTCCTGGGCAAGAGTATTCATAAGAGTAGTAAAGGTAATACCTTACCTTTATCTGTGTCTTGTCATCTTACCTTCAATTTTATGAGGCTGTCCTTGTCTCTTCCCCTCATTATCTTGTATGTTGTGATCATATTCTCATTGTTTCTTCTGTCCGCTAGTGTTGTGAGATCTAGTTCATTTAACTTAGCTTCATAGTTTAACCCTTTTAGCTTTGGCACTAATCATGTTGCAACACTGGAGGAGGAGACAACAAGGAGGCCTAATCGGGGACCGGGCCGCGGGGACGTTGAGCCCCGAAATCATCACTCTATGATGATAGGTTGTCAAATACATAGCTGACATAACTTTTCACACTGACATACCTTTTCAAATTTTGTTTTAGTCTTATGTACAATTAGAACATAAGAATAAAGGTAACTGCAGAGGGCCTATTGGCCCATACGAGGCAGCTCATATTTATAACCACCCAATCCCACTCATCCCTAATGTGGTAGTGTATTCGCTGGCAGAGGACGCCTGACAGACGCTCCTTCAGTGGTCGTGTCAGGTCAAGGCTCTGCTCCTTCAGTGGTTGCGGGATTAAACTGTACCAAAACTTCCTTTATCTTCCCAGGAAGTGCCCGACCACTGGGCTGGACGGTAGATCGAGCGACGGTCTCGTTTCATGCAGGTCGGCGTTCAATCCCGACCTTCCAAGTGGTTGGGCACCATTCCTTTCAAGTTCAAGTAAGTTTATTGAGAAAATGAAGTACATTTCAGAAGGATAGAGTACCTTAGGCTATTTCTACCCTCGTCTATATAAGGTCCCTCAAGGGGCTCACAAACCCATACAGTACACAGTTATTAATCATATTCTACATTTCACATTCCAGTAGTAATCACAACAAGAAATGACAGGGGCAGCATAATCAATAAGAGATCTCACAGTAGTATACTGTGAGATCTCTTATTGATTATGCTGCCCCTGTCATTTCTTGTTTTGGTAAAGGTAGACTAAACAAGTTGGAGAAGGTAAAGAATGCAGTCATGATCCCAAGATTATTCTCATGGCCCAAGAAATACTATTATTGAGATAATGATATGATTGAACACACACATTATTGGGGTAGAATTTCAGTGATAAATGAAGCTTCGGCGATTAGACTAATGAGGCGAGGGAGCTAATGAATTAATCCTCTCGATTTCTGTGTACATCCATTTCTGCGTGTAGTGTAGTGTAGTGTAATTAATTTTTTCACTTCAAAAGGTGGGAAGAAATGAATAATGCATGTGAAACCATTCCTTTCCCCGCGTCCCATCCCAAATCCTTATCCTGATCCCTTCCATGTGCTATATAGTCGTAAAGGCTTGACGCTTTCTCCTAGTAGTTCCCTTCTCCCCTCTTCGATTCTTGTATTTAACTTTCCCTTATGTTATAGATACCTTCTGGACTCCTATCTCCCTTTCCCATTTCGTTAACTTACATTAATTGGGATTGAATTCTAGCAACTATGTATTTGCCCAATCCTGGCGGTTGTCAAGGTCTTCCTGTAAAATTCTGCTGTCCTCTGTTTTGACGCTCCTCATTAGAACAAATCACGTTAGTGTGATCTCTGTGTGTAGTGTTCCTCATTAGCTTTGCGTCATCTGTAAACATTAACATGTACGAATTGACACACTGGGGTAGGTCGTTCGTATAAATTCGTAACATCAGTGGTGCCAGAACCGCGACTTGTGGGACCCCCATTCTTCCCCCACACTCACTGGTAACATTGCTCCAGCTCGTAATCTTCTCTTTCACTGTCTTTGTTTTCTGTCCTTCAAGTTTTGCTTGACGCAGTTTATAGTTTTACAAGTTATTTCAGCTTGCTTCTCCATCTTGCACACCAGTCTTTCACGAGGAACAGTTACATAAAGTTTTGGTTACAATACGCGATAATACAGTCTGTCCAGCCTTCTTTTTTTCCTGGCTTATTTGAGTAATATTGTCATATTGGTGTTATGTCTGTGTGCTGTATACTCACACATCTTGTGCTACCAAATCACATAGTATATTGCAATGTAGAAATGCAACTTAATCGCGATTATTTTATCCCCTTATACTGATGTTCGTCATTATGTGAATTCAAATTCTGTTATAATATACCAATCATTACGGTAATTTGTTGGCTTAAAAACCTGCCCGAAACACTGAGTGCTAGTGACTGCAAGACACTCACCCACCAGCATACGTGCTTAACAACTCATTGTGTCTTGCAAATAAATAAATAAATAAATATGTGTGTGGTCAACATCTTGATAGACCAGACCACCAACCAGGTCAGGTCAGAGACCGGGCTGAGGGGACATTGATCCTCGTTATCAGCACAAGGTAATCGCAAAGGGGCGTGCTTCTGTGTATTGGCGTTTTTCATGAGTTTTACATTGCAAACATTGATATGAAGAAGCCAATTTCGTCTTCCAGGTCTTTGTCATATATTAAAAACAGGATGGGCCCCAACCGTCCCTTATGGCACCCCTACTCGTAGCCTCCCTCTGGTGGCTGTCAGTGGGGTACCACAGAAACTTCAGCGTCTGTGAGATTGCTTCTTACGTAGTCTCTACGTCGTGTGTTGACCTTCCTCTGAAGTCCTGCCCTTCCTCTGAACTCCTGCCCTTCCTCTGAAGTCCTGTTCTCCATGCTATCTCCTCCGGAATTTCTCTTAACCCCCCAGATATTTCCCTTTCCGGTAAGCTTATTTTACATTTTACTGTGGTCTTCGTTGAAGCAATATATTCGAAGACAACCACAGGGATCATTGGCTTCTATTGGTGTTTCATAGCTATTTAGTTGTAATTACTTTTGTATCCTTGCCATATTATTTCAAATTCTTGTAAATAATGATGGTAAATATTTACCATCTGCGGTATCGATGATAAGAATGTTGATGCAGATACCGGAAAGTTTGCTGGTAATTCGACGGGCATTTTGCGCCGTTTGGAAACTGTCGCTTTACATGTTCCGCCAGCAGCGCCAGCAGCGCCAGCAGCGCCAGCTACAGTGTTTAGTGTTGTGCCTGAGTCGGAGTGGTGCGGACGGCTTGTCTCTCTCTCTCCCTGATCCAGCGTGATGTGCGCACAGCCGTCTTCCTCAGCTGGAGTGGTGGTGACAGGCAGTCGTCTTCCTCAGCTAGAGTGGTGGTGACAGGCAGCCGTCTTCCTCAGCTAGAGTGGTGGTGACAGGCAGCCGTCTTCCTCAGCTAGAGTGGTGGTGACAGGCAGCCGTCTTCCTCAGCTAGAGTGGTGGTGACAGGCAGTCGTCTTCCTCAGCTGGAGTGGTGGTGACAGGCAGCCGTCTTCCTCAGCTAGAGTGGTGGTGACAGGCAGTCGTCTTCCTCAGCTGGAGTGGTGGTGACAGGCAGCCGTCTTCCTCAGCTGGAGTGGTGGTGACAGGCAGCCGTCTTCCTCAGCTGGAGTGGTGGTGACAGGCAGCCGTCTTCCTCAGCTAGAGTGGTGGTGACAGGCAGCCGTCTTCCTCAGCTAGAGTGGTGGTGACAGGCAGCCGTCTTCCTCAGCTAGAGTGGTGGTGACAGGCAGCCGTCTTCCTCAGCTAGAGTGGTGGTGACAGGCAGCCGTCTTCCTCAGCTAGAGTGGTGGTGACAGGCAGCCGTCTTCCTCAGCTAGTGGTGGTGACAGGCAGCCGTCTTCCTCAGCTAGAGTGGTGGTGACAGGCAGCCGTCTTCCTCAGCTAGTGGTGGTGACAGGCAGCCATCTTCCTCAGCTAGTGGTGGTGACAGGCAGTCATCTTCCTCAGCTAGTGGTGGTGACAGGCAGTCGTCTTCCTCAGCTAGAGTGCGGCGGACATTCCCCCTCACCTGACGGATGAGGTACCTGCCTATACAGCTTGTTGACTTGCTCGAGCAAACATACTAACGACGATAACTTCCTGTTTATTTGCAATTATATTTATGTGCTTTTTCTGATTCGATCTATCATTCTACCATGATAACAGCGACGACTAATCCTACCAGGATGAGAAACAAGTGAAGTAACACCACTTATATATATATATATATATATATATATATATATATATATATATATATATATATATATATATATATATATATATATATATATATATATATATATATATATATATATATATATATATATATATATATATTTATATATATATATATATATATTTATATATATATATATATATATATATATATATATATATATATATATATATATATATTTATATATATATATATATATATATATATATATATATATATATTATATATATATATATATATATATATATATATATATATATATATATATTATATCAACATACAATGTTGATAGTGTTAGATATGGAGTTTCCTAAGGCACTACGGGCTCACCAAAGCCCGTGCTACTTGGAACTTTGTTCCAGGTAGCAAATCTTTAACAACAACAACATGCCGCTCACCTGGTCCTGTCATTCCGTCCAGTCATCCCCAGTCATGCCGTCGGTTCACTAGGGGTGGTCTGGTGCAGGGAGGACCAGACGGCTAAGCCACTACCGACTCTGGCTGGTCCTTGTGGCTTAGCTCCAGTCTTCTCTACGTATAGCCCTTTTCATATAATTAGGCCAGGTGTACGCTTTTCTGATAATTACCTTACTTTTGACATAATTACTAATTTACTCGTTTTTATTCGATCAAAATGCTCCACTTTACTGAAGTAACTCGTTGAAATAATGAAACCTTTTGTTCACTTCTTTGTCTAAGCAAGAAAAACTTGCCTCAGAAGTTATTCATTTACAATTTCCTCTGAATTTTATATAATAATGACTATTTTTTTTTTGAGATATATACAAGAGTTGTTACATTCTTGTACAGCCACTAGTACGCGTAGCGTTTCGGGCAGGTCCCTGGAATACGATCCCTGCCGCGAAGAATCGTTTTTTCATCCAAGTACACATTTTACTGTTGCGTTAAACAGAGGCTACAGTTAAGGAATTGCGCCCAGTAAATCCTCCCCGGCCAGGATACGAACCCATGACATAGCGCTCGCGGAACGCCAGGCGAGTGTCTTACCACTACACCACGGAGACTATTATTATTATTATTATTATTATTATTATTATTATTATTATTATTATTATTATTATTATTATTATTATTATTATTATTATTATTATTATTATTATTATTATTATTATTATTATTATTATTATTATTATAAGAGCTGGTGTCTGAGTAATTTGTGTTAGCTGTGTAAATTTCTATCAATGAAGGTCGTCATAATTGACGAATTTTGTATTGTGTTTCCCCAAGTTTGTGTTGAAGGTTATCCCACCGCTATCAGGCTGTTTTCCAGGAGGCCTGGTCGACAAGCCCCGGAAGCACCTCAAGGTAAGGTATGGCATGAGGCTTCAAAGAATGTTCACAAACCTAGTCTCTCTCTTGATATCGGCGTGTTGAAGACATTACCAAGACAAACGTCAACACTTACCCAAACACAGTGAAGGTTGACGCTCAGTACTTGAGGACAGAGTAGGAAGCACCGAGGAAGATAATTGATTGATTGATCCTTTTTATTTAGGGGATAAGTACATGCATACACAATGAGTTACACATAGAATGTTGGATTTCTAGATAAAGCATATACTCTGCTTAAAACCAGTAGCATAGCGGTTTCGGGCAAGATGTGGAAAAATAAACTTATAAACCAAGACTTTAAACTAATTGAGAATAAAAGCGTGAATTGAACTGAAGTAGAGAAATGTGGAGTGGAGATGTGGAGAGAATGTTACAGTGAAAGACAGAGAGAGAGATGGGGGAAGATAAACAAGAGATACAGAGGAAGATGGGCTTGATATAGTGAGAGTGGAGTAGAAATAGAGAGGGGATTAAATGGTGTCACTTGCCGCCAGGGCTGTGACATACATTAGTGAATATTGATCGTAACCCATTGTTTCTCAGGGGGGGGGGGCATGTTTTGAACCTTCACAGCAAGGGCATCGTTTGTTGCTCTCTTACCATCAGTACATGTCCATGAACTTGCCTAAATATTTGTGCTTGCAAGTCGAGCTTCAGCTCCTTTGCCTCGTTGTTTCTACTTCTAGATGATACAATTACATCCTTGTGCTCATTTTATTTTCTAATGAATATAAATTGATGAGTGCATCTTTGGGGTCGGCCGCTGGATAGAATGAATGAACGTATGCACGTAAGCCTGAGGACGGCTTGCGTTCTCAACCATCACGAATCGACAGAAGTTGGAAAATATACTGGCCAATAATGAGAGGCTGGGAGCACTAGCGTCTACCGACCCATTGATTATTTGCACTCCCGAGCTGGTGCTCAACATAAGTGGTTGACGATGTGTGTTGCTCGTCCGGAACACGACAGGTTCGTGTTCCCGTGACTTGTACAGGACAGCCCGTGACTTATTTCCTGTTTGGGTTCGAATTTCGATGAAAACTCGAGGTTTGAGTCCTGTTCCGGGTCCGTTTTCTAAGTTACATTCTGGATATATTTTCTCTTGTTACTTGATTGCATTAAGTGCAATAACGATGGTTTAGTGTTAGACTCAAGGTCAAGGCCTATCAATCTCTGAAGGATTATTATATAAGCCGCCATAATAACTTGGTGATCAGCCAGCAAGCATTCATCCTCCCTGAATATGGTCCAGGACCCTTGTATATACACCGAGGAGCGACCTACACCTTTGGTGTTTATATTCCTGTGTCAACAAAACATCATATATATATATATATATATATATATATATATATATATATATATATATATATATATATATTTATTTGTGTGTGTGTGTGCACTATAATGAGGCTAACAAATCATAAACAAACTCTAGGCATGAATGGTAAACAATATTCGGGGAACCATTATAAATTCACTTCTTTACCAAACAATCTAAACTATATTTCCATATATAAACCCGTCATCAACGGAGTTTCATATCAGTTGATGTGAATTCTTTATTACCCTGATAAGGTACATATATATATCCAGGGAGTTTACCTCACTTATCGGTGTATAATACACACACTGAGAGTATACGGTACCTTAGTCCTGAACCATGTCAACGGAGAAAGTATACTTGTTGGTACAATACATTGTATACATCAGTATACGCCACAACAACATCAGTAAGGTGTTGTTGTGGTAACATTTTCATTTTCATGAATATCTCTTAATAATGATCTTACAGGAACAAAATTACGCCATTTTGAACAGTGTAACTCTCCCATTAGTGTAAATATTTGTAGTTTTGGGCAAGATTGTCTACACAATATGCATTTCTCTTTATAGGTACATAAACGAAAACAAACATATCTTGATACAAGTAATTCCTCCTCAGAACGTGAAGACGATACTGTCATCTGTGCCTGGCTACAACTGGGCTACGACAAGAGCCTACGACACTTGAGGCTACGACACACGAGGTTACGACAACACGAGGCTACGACACTTGAGGCTACGACAACACGAGGCTATGACACATGAGGCTACGACACATGAAGCTACGACAACAAGAGGCTACGACAACACGAGGCTACGACACCAGACTGCTGCACCATCAAGCCGCCGCAATACGAGGCTACGACACCACACCTCACCACATCATTGATTGAGAACAAATATTAATCCATATTCACTACCAGCAAATACCCTTCGATACAGAAGGAAAAGGAAAATGAAGCTTTCGTAGAAGACAGAATACGAGAAAAGAAGCCGTGGTAGGAGACAGGAAGGCGGACGAAGCCGTCGTAGGAGACAGGAAGGAGGAAGACAGGATGATGGAGACGGGGGTGTTTGTGATGGGGCGTCTGTTGAGACGCCGCCCCCGCTACACCACCTTCCTTACCCTCTTCCTGGCCGTCTCTACCATCCTCCTCCTGCACCACCTCGCTCTCCTCATCTACGCCTACCAGTCAGTAGTCTTATCTTCCAGTCACAATCCTTCTCTTCCGGTCACTACCCTTCTCTTCCAGTCACTATCATTCATTTCCAATCAGTATCCTTTTCTCACAATCGATATATCTTCCAGTCACCATCATTATGCTCCTGTTAGTATTGTTATCTTCAGCGTCCTTATCTTCCAGTCAGTATCTTTAGCTTTCAGTCAGTATCTTCTTCCAATCAGTATCCTAAGCTTCCAGTCAGTATTCTTACCTTCAAGGCAGTATACTTAGCGTCCAGTCAGTATCTTTAGCTTCCAGTCAGTATCCTTAGCTTCCAGTCAGTATCCTTAGCTTCCAGTCAGTATCCTTAGCTTCCAGTCAGTATCCTTAGCTTCAAGTCAGTATACTTAGCGTCCAGTCAGTATCCTTAGCTTCCAGTCAGTATCTTCTTCCAGTCAATATCTTCTTCCAGTCAGTATCCTAAGCTTCCAGTCAGTATTCTTAGCTTCAAGGCAGTATACTTAGCGTCCATTCAGTATCTTCTTCCAGTTAGTATTCTTAGCTTCCAGTCAATATCCTTAGCTTCCAGTCAATATACTTAGCGTCCAATCAGTATCCTTAGCTTCCAGTCAGTATCCTTAGCTTCGAGTCCGTATACTTAGCGTCCAGTCAGTATCCTTCTCTTTCATTCAGTATCCATATCTTCTAGTCAGTATCCCTATCTTTCAGTCAGTATCCTTATCTTTCAGTCAGTATCCTTATCTTTCAGTCAGTATCCTTATCTTTCAGTCAGTATCCATATTTTCCTGACACTTAAGCTTCTAGTTTGTCACAGTTATAATATCCTTAACAGTCAATTACGCCTCAGCTAGTAGTTACGGTCTTAATCCACCAGTCAGTAGGCTACCTCTCTCAGCACATACAGTCAGTAGGCTGCCTCTCTCAGCGCATACAGTCAGTAGGCTGCCTCTCTCAGCACATACAGTCAGTAGGCTGCCTCTCTCAGCACATAAAGTCAGTAGGCTGCCTCTCTCAGCACATACAGTCAGTAGGCTGCCTCTCTCAGCACATACAGTCAGTAGGCTGCCTCTCTCAGCGCATACAGTCAGTAGGCTGCCTCTCTCAGTACATACAGTCAGTAGGCTGCCTCTCTTAGTACATACAGTCAGTAGGCTACCTCT